AAGCCCTAATCTTCAAAATAATTGGCGAATGAATATTAAATGATGCTAATCTGGCACCAAAAGGCATTTTTTTTAGTCGTTTCCAGAAAAAAAACCCTTATTGTTAGTTAGCCAAAATGGATTTACAATGTAATTTACCCCGTACAATTTCTTTTCAAATCGAGCCGCAAATGTTAAATTGCCTGAAACTGTACGCCTGTACGACTTGTCGTCACGTTCCAACTGTAATTCCCGACAAACGTGCCAATTAGGAAGACGCACATACAGTAAAAACAAAATTTGTGCAGAAAAACACTCAGTCAAAATTAGTAATTCATTTCCCTCGAAAAATGATATAATTTGCCCTAATCTTTACATTAATTGGCATATGAATACTTAATGATGCTCTACTGGGATCGAACGGTATAGCTGAGTTGTTGATTTTTTTTTGAAAATTATTGGTAAGATGTCTGCACTAGTAAGAAAATCACGGTTTCCACTCCATAGACCATTATCATGTAGCGGCCATCTTGATTTTTTTCCCATTCAAATCAACGTAACCAAAGCGAGGCTTGAAGGAAAATAGTCTGGTTCCTTTTTGCACCAAAAAGCAAACAATCATTCAGTACTGCTATTATGATGCAAGGGAAATGACTGAAATGGTGGCAGCATGATAAGGGTCTATTCCTTGCACACTTGTGAAGTTTTCCTGCAAACTTTCTGGTTTTTTAAAGTTTTATTTTGCATACAAGAGTCTCAGCGCAGTTCTTTCAATTCAATCATGTACTACGTTTTGTATCTTTCTTAGCAGAACATCGAGTACAGTTTTAAAGGGAATCAAACTTGCGCCACAGTGCGACGAGTGAAGGATTACCATGGGTAACGTGTGATGAATGTCATATTTTGCCACAGGCAAAACTGCGGATTCTGGTAATACCAATCAGCAAGGGAGCTTCAACAGAACGTCAAAAACAAGCAATCCGCATTAAATGCCTGCTGGGGACGCGCTGTAGTTATAGATATGAAAGTTATTTCATTTTGTTTCAGAAATACAAGTTCGGGGTGAGGATTTACAATTCCTACCGATTGGATTTGATCATCATCTGAAGAAATCCCCAGAGTTGTGATTTGTCAGGGGGTTGATGGATAAAACGAAAGTAGTTCTGGTCCGCGCGTGGGAGGAATTAGCTTTGAGACAATGAAAAATGGGATTTTTTTGGGGGCAAACAGCCGTTGGTATTGAGTAGCGATGGCCATCACCAATAGAGATTCTTATCACAATATCAGTCTTAATTCTGACGGCTTGGGCATGTTTGGAATGATTAAGTGAGCATCGGTCGTTCACCCGGATCCTAGGGGACAAGCTAGCAACATGACCCTGGGGACAAGTGGGGCTCAAGATTTAAAGATGTCAGACACTAATAAAAGATTGAAAGCTGTCTTTCAACCGTTCGTCTTGGTCGATTGATAGTAAACTGCTGAAGAACGTCCAGTACAATCCTCATATTGCCTTCAATTTAACTTGGATGAAAAACACACCTAAAGCTCCAGGCTTGTTACACTCGTAACGCGCGTGTAGATGGTTACAATAAAATAGTAATTTAAGGCCAACAAAAAAAAGTCTCCGGTTTCTGGTATGCGCGCGCGTCGCCGTAGCCATGCGCGTCGGCAAAATGAAAAAGTTTTTTTTCAATGAAAGATGATGTCTCAAAACCGCCAAACTCACTGGTTTGACTGGAATCCTGCTGCTGCACAATTTTAACGCGTTCTTAGATGGGGTTATGATCGAGAATAAGCTTTATGTGGCCTCTCTGGAATCCCAAATATTTTCACTAATTTGAGTCGGGCACCATTTGCAGTCATCAGCCGCCATTTGAAGCAAAAAAGTCAGGTAAAAAAAAAAGAAGCCGCATTGCCGCACCACTTTTTGGACAAGCTCCATACAAGAAACCGTATCCTTTTTTGTGGGCCTAATGTTCAGGAATTAGTTCTATCAATTGACGGCGTGTATCGTTGTCGTTTGTTGCGCACCCATTTCTAATTAAACATAGCGCGTCTGATCTGTCTCCAGCCAGCTCTGTCATTGGTCTCCTTCTTCAGGTCAATGCTGCCTAGGGGTTTGAGGTCGTTAATTGTGTCTAACCATGTTCGTCCCCCCCCCCCCCCGACGGTCTTTTCACTTTTTGTTGTATTTCGTCATGTGCAATCTTTGCTGGTGTGTCTTGTGGCAGACGCAGTAGATGACCGTGCCAGCTCAACCTTCTGTTTTTGATGTTTACACTCCACGACTTTTGGTTGGTTTTGGTGTACAGGTCTTCATTTGATTATCTTTGCTGGCCAGCAAATTCCTAGTATGTATCTAAGATGACGTCTGTGAAAAGCATAAGTTTGGTTCGCCAAGGTTTTTGTGAGAGTCCAAAGTTCACTGTTGTACAGGAAGACGCTTCCAGCATATGCAATGAGAATTCTTATTCTCAGTTGTGGGTTGATTTTCTTCTTGTATGGTATTGGTTTGAGTTTAATATCTGATGGTTGGTTCTAGTGATTTCCGGCGTTTTAAGACACAGGCTGAAACTAGACACAGGCCTTACGAATACGAGTTGTTTCTATTTTTGGAAGGGGGGGATTGTGGTTGGGGTGAGGCACGTTGCCCACGTATTCACAATAGCCACGTGGGTGCAACCCTGCATTACAATTATAGACACTAGTGCTAAATGCCCATACTTCATAATTCTTTTTAATATACTCAGAACCCTCACAGGTATTTAAGCAACACAGAAAAATGATGATCAACATGTCATCTTTCATTTTCTTTTCAGTTTTGGTGGGTTGACCATTGACTACTTGAGAAATTCTTGCCCAAAGAAGACGACCCCTATTTTCCCCAAAGCGAAACGGTAGCCATCTTGAAAAAAAAGAAGATACCTCCACAACAAGGCAAAATAGCGGCACTTTCGAGCCCAATTGCATCCAAAATGCTCAGAATTGAAAGCCCCAAGTCCGGGCCAGAGGTTCATTGCCATATCTCTTCAATTACCCAATGTTATGGCTCTCAGAACTCTCTAATATAAAATATTTTGAAGGGAATAACTTTTATTCATGAGCTCGGCGGATGGATTTGGGCCTATTTACCGGTGTGCACCCACATGGCCACATTTGAATGTGTGTGCCTACTTGTGTCCCCATTGTCCTGAGGACTTAGAATATGGGGACATGTCCTTGATCGATGGTGAAACTAAGCAGCGATTCAAAAATAAACAATCATGATACGCGCACGCAGAGGTGATCGAATCAATCAAATAAAAAAACACCAAGTTGAAGCAATAAATGATTTAATCATGGTTCAAATAATGTTCGTATACAGGAAATATTTTAGGTATTTATAATTCTATGTACAGTGGATATAATATAAGAAAGTTTCCGCAGCGCCCATTAAAAAATATAGGTAATTTTTTTTCTTCAATCATTTACATTCCTTATTTCTCGTTTTTGCTGTTTCGACAAATAATCGCCATTCTAAAACGCAAAACACGTTTTCCCTCGCTTTGATTTTTGGAGTTTTTACAATAAACCAAATTAAGAAACGGTACTGGTAAAACGAATAACTGGGTATAATGTCATAAAATAATTATCACAAAATCCAAATAATAAACATCTTTACTTGTGCGCCTGAATATATATCAGCCGAATGGACCGATTTTGAAATTTTAAATAAAAACAGCTGAAGTGCTTGTTAATACATATTTATGTAGACCTGTTAAAATAGCTAGGCCTTTTGATATCGATTTAAATAGGCCACCATTAAAGTTGGCGAAAAAGACCATTTTACCTCAAATTCTTTTTTTTACATTTTCAAATCAGAAATAGATATTTTATTGAATGTTGGAAATGCCCAGTTTTGGCACAAAAACAAATGCCTTTTGAAAAAGAAAATGCACGAGACAAGAAAATTGGAACAATTTTCCTTAAAAATAATGAAAATCATTTTGGAATAAATCAATGAAAATATACAATAAGTTTACATTGTTGATGAATAGAATTTTTTTTTTTTTACATCAAGATGATGTTTATGAATCTCAACAATTTTGTTTTAAAGGCTTGGATGCAGGCAGGGTGACCGTTTTAGCCGATTTTCGGCTAGCTTAATGACAGATACTTTGTTAAAAAACGAGTTTGACAGAACATTTGACAGAATAGATTTTTTTTGGCAGATTTCTGGCACAATTATGCAAAAATGGTTATTTGACAAAAAACCATAGCAAATTTGAAGAAAAAAAATGGTGCATTTGTATAAAAAAAGGTTCAATCTTTTTAAACAAACCCTTGCATAATGGGACAGGTTGGCTGGTCTAGCTGCTGAGGTTCACTGGGAACCAGACTTCGTCGTGACGCGCGTTTTGCCTGAAATTTACGCAATAATTTTGTCACATCTTTGTGTGACTATAGATTGTTTATAATGTAATTTGAACCTTAATTAAGGAAATACTACAACATCTGCAAGTGATTTTAAGTGTTTACAGTTTATTTTGAGTAATTCTGGGGAATTTGGCAGATTTTTGAAAAAGCTGACATATTTTGAAGTGCATTTAGCAGAATTTGCCATGACCTTACGGTCACCCTGGATGCAGGATAATCTTGGTTCCAATAATACGGTATGTTAAAGGTAATACACATTTGCCTTTGCTGTAATTTTCAGATTTGGGGGGGTTAGTATTTTATAGTAGGCCTATACAAATATCGAGTGGCTCTGAGCGAAATGGGAGTAATATTATTGCTCAGTAAAATCTGGACTTTTCCAGTTCACTCGGCTTAGCCTCGTGAAATGGAAAAGTCCAGATTTTACCTTAACATTCCTCCCATTTCACAATTGAAAGCCACTCAATACTTGTTTTATAACTGACATATAGATCCTTGTCATTTGACATATTTGAACTTTTATTTCAATACAAAATTGGTGAAAAATGCACTTCTCTCTTCCAAACCACCCCTTCATGAAAATGTTTGAACCCAACTCTGCAGCGCTGCATCTTTGGAATCAAAGTGCCCTGTGATTGGTCTATCTGATGCTTGCCAGGAAATAGTCTCTACAGCCAGAGCCCTGCACAAGTCTACTTTTCCTGAATTCAAAATGGCAGCCTCAAACAAGGTGTTTATGACAAGGATGTCCGTGTCCAAATGTTAAAAAAAGTGATTCGTAGAGTCCTAGTTTACTCGGACTAAGCTCTCATGTAATTTCACTGGTTGCCAGTCAAGTATAAGGTGATCTTTCAAGTTTGTATCTTGGTATTCAAGTGTCTCCATGGTTGTGCTCCTAATTATTTGTGTGATCTGCTAAGTACTAGAGTTCAAACTATATTTACTCATTCTGCGCTAGACACGCCTCAATTATATTGCACTAATGCCAGGCTGGTTTCCGCAGGTGAGAGAATGGTTTCTGTGGCTGGTCCCCGCCTATGAAACCAGCTTGAAATTAACCTTAGGAGTCTTCCAGTGTACAGAGTATCAAGTCGGGTTTGAAAACTCATCTTTTTAAGCAGGCCTTTCTTAATTCATAGAATAATTGATTTAATGACTGGGTATATAACGTATTTTTTTAATGTATTGATCTATACCTTTTTAAGCAGGCTTTTTTAATTCATAGGTTATGGGTTTTCAATGGCTGGGTTTATAATGTATTTTTTAATGTATTGATCTATACCTTTTTAAGCAGGTGTTTGTTTAATTTCTGGGTAATGGTTTGTAATGGCTAATGTTTCCTCACTGGACTTATAGAGTACTTTTTGTGTATCTACACCTTTACTTTTATATTTAATTGTAATCACTTTATCTTTTTAATGTGTACAGCACCTAAGAGCATATCATGGATTTTCGGGCGCTATGTAAATGTTAGTTATTATTATTTATTATTACAAATATTATTCATTATTATAAATAATATGGGTTTGTTAAGCCAAAGACTGAAGGGCTTAGATGACGAAATGCAGTTTGCATTTCGTGTGAAAGGCATATACATGTGAAATGAACTTTTGGAATACCTAAAGGGCGCCCTCTGTTTTCAGTGGAGCCCTCTACCGTCCCACCAGTGCTTAGTTCAACAGCAGAGGGCGCCACTCAACACTGTCACTCCAGAAACACGCTGGTGGAGCTCAGGTTGGGCTCGCTGGCCGTCTTGCACAGGTGGTCCGTGATGAAGTTGTTGTTGATGTTGCTATAGAGACGACAGGTATCCATGTCACCGTACAGGGGACCCGAGTCCACGTTGGTCTCTTCTTCCACAACTGGAGATTCAAAACACAAACGAACCGATCATTAAGTTATGGTAAGGTTCGTAGCAAAAATCATTAGGGTTACGGTTAGAGTTAGGGTTGGGGAACATAGCATTACGTGAACAGCCCTTTAGAAAATCTAGATGGATTCACACATACTTTTCAACCCCAGTGGGGAGTCCTTGAGTAAACACACTTCACCCATGTCCAGCAAGATAATCCCCCTAATCACTTATATAAACAACCTCCTGTGGACAACACAGCTGGCTGGGTGAGTGTTGGAACTACCATGGACATGTACATGTACATGTACATACACTGTATGTGCATCATTGTAATAATCGTTCTCTGTCATTACTTTATGGAATTTAACCGTTCAAAAAAGAAAACAAAATAACATTTCACACACGTAAATAATAAGATATTTATATGAATTTATATCAAGGTATTTAGTTGCAAAATTGTAAGCTGAATCGTTCAGGCAGGATCTCTTATCACACTCATTATAGGATTAGTGGTGATAACAATCTTAATCCCCTGGGGCACACATGCACTCTCCCTTTAGAAAAGCTCCAAAAGTATGCGTGAGGACCCGACCAGTTGGTAGGTTTGGTCGGGTCGGCTCCTAAAGAGCTGGATCCGTCATGGGTATTGGGGAACATAGGTATGCACCCTAACCATTCATATGAATCACTCGGTTTTTTTTCCTCAATATACTCGATTTGCCACACACACAAATGATGAACTTGGGCACAAATCATTCTGACTCGCCCTGTACAGGAAGAGTGAAAAAAAGGTGAAATCAAAATATCCGGATCATTGTTTTAGTGAAATTCTGCTTGTAACACTTTCAAAATCTAGGACATGAAAATCCAATTCATAAGTTTCTTTTAGTACAAGAATCATTCAGATCACTCATGTACTTTTCAAGTTACGGAATTTTAAACACAACCACCGTTTTAAAGTTCTATCCACGGATCACAAAAAAGGTGTGCGTTCTTTCAACAAAACAAACACAATTCACACACATCCCTATGTGATTTGGTTTCGTTTTGCTTAAAGAGCACTTACCTTCTTGTGATCGATGGTTGTGTTTAAAATGCCGTAACTTAAAAAGAACATGAGTGATTTGCATGCTTTTTATACTAAAAGAAAGCTTATAGATTGGGCTTTCATATCCTAGATTTTGAAAGTGCTACATGCAGAACTTCACTAAAACAATAGTCCCGACATTTAGGTTTCGCGTTTTTGGACTCATCCTGTACTTACGAACAATGGCTAAAGCGAGGAATGATCCTCCCCCAAAAATATATTATCGCTATGAAACTGGTGATTGTCAAATAAAAGAAACAAACATACTTATTTCTTTGAGGTGAACATCATCCGTCAAATGGCGGTCTTTCCTGAGGGACACGGACATGGGCATAATCTCCGTCGAGTCCGAGGCGGGGAGCTGCAGCAGGGGCACGGCGCTGCTGATCGGAGCGGAGTCTTCGGCGGCGCTGTTCGAGCCCTCCGCGTCGGAACACTCTCCGTAAGGTAAACAGGACAGGTCCAGATAGTCCTGCAGATCATCGAAACAAATTCAATCTCGAGAACTGTCGCGCAATACAACTGAGAAATATTGACGTCAATTAAGCTTTGTTTAGGCCAAAAAAAAAAGTCTCCGGTTTCTGGTATGCGCGCGCGTCGCTGTAGCCATGCGCGTCAGCAAAATGAAAAAGTTTTTTTTTCAAAACAAGATGAAGTTTCAAAACCGCCAAACTCACTGGTTTGACTGGAATTCTGCTGCTGCACAATTTTAACGTGTTTTTAGATGGGGTTATGATCGAGAATAAGATTTATGTGGCCTCTCTGGACTCCCATATATTTGCACTAAGTTTAGTCGGGCACCATTTGCAGTCATCAGCCGACATTTGAAGCCAAAAAAAAAAACAGGTAAAAAAAAAAAAAAAAGCCGCGTCACCGCACCACTTTTGGGGCAAGCTCCATACCAGAAACCGGAGACTTTTTTTTTTGGCCTTACATGAGTACTTTCTTATGGGAGTTTGGTAGCTCATTGTGCCATCCTAGCTCCCACAGGAACGCCCGTAATTATGAGAAAAAAAAGCGTGACGTCATTATATTTTCAGGGCCATAGGCAGTGTGGTAGTCCAAAATAAATTCATCACAGGCCCCATACAATTATCCCGGCACTATCTGTGACAGAGTGCACCCCATGTCCCTATGTAATACCCACACCCTAGACTATTGTGTAGCACACCCCCAAAGATATCTCAAAAAGAATTATGAGCTTCTGGAAACACAAAGACCAACACACAAGAGGGGATCCCTCTGTCATATATCTTGCTACATATGTGCCAATAAGTCATAAGTCAATTCCAAAGCCCAGTCACAATTAACATGGGATGAGCAATAACATAGCAATGTTTTTGTAGCAGTACTAGTTCACTTGAATAGCTTGTGACTTAACATTATCACTAGACCGGTGACCAGTAATTCACAGGCCCTTTGGAAGGTACAGTCGCGAGTAACGGGAGTCAACAATAACTCAGGAATGCTAGCTTGTGACTTCAATCAATCAATCAATCCACTTCAATACCTGCAATAAGCCATTTGCGAGTTAAATTTGAATAAAATCTGGAAAGCTGACTTAATCCAATGCTTTGCACTTTTTAAGTTTGCATTCTCCCGACCAAAGAGACTGTTACTATATCACGTGATTCGGGGCAAGCCTTTTGCTAGCAACCCCCAGCTCCGGCATGGTCTGGGGTCTTTGTGTCATTCTCACCCATTGTGAACGATGTATCGGTGCTGAGCGTCTCTTACGTAACTATGCAAGAGCTTGCCCTGAATCATGTGATTAGCAACAGTGTCTTTGGTCTGGAGAATTCAAAGTTAAAATGTGCCAAGCATTCTGAGCAAGTCAGTGTACCAGATGTTTTTCAAATGTAAATACCAAAGGGTATAGGTTACTCGCAAATGGCTTATTGGTCAAAAGTTTGCCTCTTGGCGTGAGTCTACATTATGTGGCACGATATGTGAAAGAGGGAACCCCCCCCCCCCTTTTGTGTTGGTCATTGTGTTACCAGAATCTCAGGATTTCTTGAGATATCTAGGGGGATGTGTTAGGTTGGGAGTCAGGTTGGTGTAGCGGTACTTTCCTCGCCTTCCACCGCTGTGACCCGGGTTCGAATCCCGCCTGGGTCAATATGTGGATTGGGTTTTCAGTCCCTACCTGATTCCCTGGGTTTTCCTCAGAATACTCTTCTGGGCTTTTCCTCCCACCTCTAAAACTGTAATTTCTTCTCACTGTCTTCTCTTTACTGGGACCCATGGGAGATCAGTGGATTTCACTGAATGGGCTACCCAGTTAAAATAAGAAATAAATAAATAAATGAATAAATATAGGTAACAAATAGTCTAGGGTGTGTATAGCGTACTGGGAAATTGGGGGGGGGGGGAGGTGTACGGTCACATATCGTGCTGATATGTGAGTTAAGGTGAACTTTCAACCGAAAACAAAACTTACAGCATCTTTTTCCATGATCCGTTCCAACATGGTGCCGACCACTTCGAAATCCGGCCGGTCGTCGGGATCGCTCAGCCAGCACTTCTGCATTATATTATACCTAAAACAAATGAAGATACAACCCAACTTAATTTAATTGAAAAAAAAGTGAAGAAAACAGTTTGAGACTACTACACAGAACAGCCATTTGGATTGTTGTTAACAATAAAGACAAGCAGGCCTACTAAACGCCCGTTTTCAGTAGTCCTGATTCATTCGTATGCAGATGTAGTTGAAACCGATACTTTACAAACGAATAAAAAGATTCAAACGAACCTTAAAAACACGCAGAATAAAATAATGTTACATGTACAATACGAATGAAAGATCAGCCTGCAAGGGCCAATTTCATAGAGCTGCTTAAGCACAAAATTTACTTAAGCACAAAAACGTCTTGCTTAATAAAAGCAGGTTACTGGCCAAAACTCCATGCGATTGTTATGCTAAGTAAACACCAGCTAAATACCAGTCACAAGCAATGTACATCACATGGAGTTTTGGCAATGTACATCACATGGAGTTTTGGCCGGTAACCTAATTTGACTAAGTAATGTTTTTTCGTGCTTAAGCAAATTTTCTGCTTAAGCAGCTCTATGAAATTGGGCCCTAGGCTAGGTAGTATCTCATACTGTAGGAACTCACTTCATCAAATGTATGCCTAAATATGCAATTTTTGAACGCATAAGGGCTCTGATATACTCAGCCAAAAAAGAAAGTGCCCCCTTCCAATACTTTTTGTCTAACTTTTTGTACGACTTATCAGTACAGAAATTCCTTAGCAATCCAGCCATACTCTTTATTTGGCCCAAAACAGTGATAATGTGTACGCATTTATGCAATTTATGACAAATGATACCGAAAACAGTTGTACTTTTGTATATATGCAAGTTGTGGTTCACACTCGCCTTGCGTGTATACAAAAGTGAAACTTTTTTTGGTACCATTTGTCAAAAATTGCATAATTTTCAACAAATTCTCACAGGTTTGGGCCAACAAAGAGTATGGCTGGATTGCTAAGGACTTTCTGTACTGATCAGTTGTAATTTGGGTAATCCTTACTTTTAGGACCCCATTCCTATTATAAGGTTAAAAGACTCACCAAAAGAGCTGACTTAGTGACTAAAGTGACACTCAAAAGTGACATTCTGATATTTCTTGTCATATATCTGAACAGTATGACACCTTCATGAATGTCAGCGGGTTTAATTGTGTGGAAAAAGGTTGGCGGGGCTTTGATTTTATAGGGAAATTAAGGGAAAAAGACGACGATGACGTACAGAAACTGACTCAAAAACCAAGTAGCAAACTGCAAAAAAGGGTAGGAAAGTCACATTTTCTTTGAAAGTGCTTTCAAAATTACAACTAACATGAATTTATCTGAAGAAAAAAGACTACTTTGGCCTGCAAAAGTCACTTTGGTACTGGACAGTCATCTGCAAAAGTCAGTTTTGAACAGAACTCGTAAAAAATAGAGGTGTCCTAAAGATAAGGATTACCCTAATTTGGGCAATATGTGACCGGTAGTTTTTGAGTTAGACAAACAAGTATTAAGGGGGGCTTTCTTTTTTGGTTGAGTGTATGACAACACTTAGGGTTCAATGCTAAATTTCGTCATTAAAGGTGATATTTTAACTGTTTGTACCCAGCAAAATGGCAACATTATGTACAGCGCACTCATTTGCTAAAAAAATGCCAGTTTTTTTCTTACAGTTCTTCCGCGCAGCCGTCCGGTCGTTCCAGCCTGTAGCCTTGTCGTATCAGCTGGCACAGTTTGTGAGACATGATACCGGGATATGGCATGGCACCCATGGTCAGAATCTCCCAGAACAGAACACCAAACGACCAGCTAAAGTGGACGGGAAAAGGCACATCATTATAGGTATCATTTGTAAAATATTGCAGCTTTCAGATTTTTACCATCAATGCTGCTAACTGCACTTACTATAGACCCCATGTGTGCACTGTGCATAGCGGCCATTTTAGTGGGCTAGGCTTATGTCCTATAGGAATATGGATGGTAGATTTCCGTACATTCACTGTGAGTTATAATGTGAAAGAACTTCATGTAGGAGAGTCGCGACGCATAACCCGTGCACGATTTGAAGGGGAGGGGTGGGGGTCCTATCCATCCCATATCTCGTTACAAAATGAAAATTTGAACTGTGTTGTTCATGCCAAAAAAAAAGTCTCTGGTTTCTGGTATGCAAGCGCGTCGCCGTAGCCATGCGCGTCGGCAAAATTAAAAAGTTTTTTTTTTTCCAATGTAAGATGATGTCTCAAAACCACCAAACTCACTGGTTTGACTGGAATCCTGCTGCTGCACAATTTTAACATGTTTTTGATGGGTTTACGATCGAGTTTAAGCTTGATGTGGCCACTCTGGGATCCCATACATTTTGCACTAAATTTAGTCAGCCATCACTTGCAGTCATCAGCCGACATTTGAAGGGAAAAAAAGTCAAAAAAAAAGTCAAAAAAAAAGTCGCCGCACCACTTTTGGGGCGAGCTGCATACCAGAAACCAGAGACTGGCCTAATAGTTTTACAAAAGATTTGGTATAGACTAAAGTGACGATCTATATAGACCATGAGATTACTTTTTTTATATAAAAAATTACATACTGTGGTCACGTGATGCAACATTTTCAAATGACGGGTCTCGTCTGCACTGTATGTATATCTCTTGAAATATGAATGGCTTGAAAGCACGGATAACTGTTTAATGGGAAAAATAACCTGGAAAAGATGCTTAAAGGGACACTAGGTCCTGGAACAGCCCAATTGGGCTACAAAACGCGCTTTGAACGAGATGATGTTAATCGGAAATAACATTTAAAAGTAAACATCCACACAACTATCCTTTCAAAACTGGGCGTTTTTGTGTTATTCCTGTATTATGCGTGCGAGAACGAGTTTCGGGGTCCACTTTTGCGACCCCATAAATTCGAGCTGTTTGGATGCTAGTTGTGATTTCATTCGTATCGTGTTCGCCTTTTGCGGACGTTGAAGAAACCATTTTTTTTGCATTGGCGATTGGTCACCGCGCGCTGTTTCCGAGACACACAACGTGTATCTCGTACACTGAGAACGACACGTACTCGTACTCCGTCGTGTCCGATATAAACAAGCGGGGTTTTTCGTCTTTACTCGGGAACGGTAAGACATTAGGCTGGTTTCCTTTCAACCAGATGTTTGAAATAGGCTAAGTAAACAATCCAAAACATAAAATTTCCGGGATTTCAGGACCTAGTGCCTCTTTAAATGTTGGGGTTGCCCGGTGGTTGCCTGGCGGCATGACGTCACAGGGCACAAGGTGTCTATAATTATGTTGTGATTTGTTCTACAAGCAAAATGAAACATGACACAAGGGGCCAATCGTTACTGGTAAGTAGGCATTTTATTAACCCTCGGAGTCGAGTGACCAACAAAATCACACCGTGAAACCACATGGAGAATTTTATCACCACACGGTTTCTAGGTCAATAACCCCCTCATGCACAAGATATAGGCAGGTCACATGGCCTTTGTGTGGGCCAGGATTGTTTACGACCTGTCTGAGCTCTGGGCGGCACGAGGGGTTGACACGGAGAGATCGAGGGGTTGACACAGAGAGATCGGCGGCACAAAGGGGTTGGCCACTAAGATCTCCAATTACTGCACAAAGGCATTAGGCGCCTCTTGGGGCTGCTGTCTTTCAACACTCCTTACTCTGCAGCGGGTAGGGTGTGGCCAATGGGAGTCTACAGGCTTGTGGTGTATATTAGGGGTGAGGATTACATGGAATCTTGGCCTTATTGGCACATTGAAAAAAAAGTTATGACCATATTTGGAAAATGTGGAGAATTTTATCACCACGTGGCTACACCGATGGTTAAAACGTAGATATATTTATACTTATTATTCATGTACTCACTCATGCTTTCATATAAATGGTACGAAAAACAACAAATGAATTAACAGAATAACAGGTAGGAAAATCATTTTTGAACTTACATGTCCGTTTTTGTTGTGTAAATATTGTCGAACAGTGACTCAGGCGCCATCCATTTCATTGGAATTCGACTCTGCAGGACAGAAAAATCATTTAATTGATTTAAGATACTGACAATTTTTGTTTCCATTGAAGGGAATATATTCTTCAATGTCAAACACGGATGTTGCCACATGATTTAGTTATGTCAACAAGCTTTAAAAGTCTCGAATGGCCGAGCCAAGTAAAGCAAAATTGTGATTTAACAAGCAACTTTTTTTTCCCAAGCAGCTTACGTATCTCTTATGCGTAACATTGCTAGTGGTCCCCAAGGGCGGATCAAGAACACATATTTTTTTTTGGGGGGGGGGGGGGCAAACAAAAATTTGGTCCCCCAAAAGGTGGGTCAAAAAAATTTCAGCGTGGGGTTCGGGGCCCACTTAAGGGCCCCGAATTTTTTTTTCTAGAAAGATTCTAGAAGCTCTGTGGTGCGCTCTGTGGCAATTTCTGACCACTTTAACCAATGTTTTTTGAGGAAAAGATGGTGGTGTACTCATTGCCTGCCTTTATTGCGACGTCACATAAACAAATTTAAAAAATAATTTCATTTTTTTTGGGGGGGGGGGTGTTCCATGCCATGCCATGCCCTCCGCCCCTCCCCCGCCAGATACACCCTTGGTGGTCCCTATGGGCTCCGTGCACAAGTACTCCTTCAACGACCAGAAAACGAGAGTTGGGGGAGGCCTTGACTGGTTCCCGGTCCATCCACTGCGTCTTGCGAATGATCCAAAGTTACTGGGGGTGGGCATTAGTCAGGGACACCATCACAAGTTAACTTCAAACGTATTCACGCGCCGCCGACGCCTGATGCTCACGCGAAGATGCTGTGGCTAATAGCTTTGGCACATTCAGGAAGTCGTGCGTACTTCGCACGCGAACCAGTACAGTACAGTACACACACGCTGTACATGTATGCCCCGCCTAAGGGGCTCTCAAAAGTGGGGCTGTGATCCAATGGCTACGGTGTTCGACTCGTGTGCCGTGGTACATGGGTTCGAATCCTGACCGTGGGAAAATGGTGCTTGTGCTCTTGAGCAAGGCACTTTACCATTATTGCTTCGTCCTTCGGATGGGACGTAAAGCCGTAGGTCCCGTGTGTTGTGTAATGCACGTTAAAGAACCTAGTAACACTTATCGCTAAGAGAAGGGGTTTGCCCCGGTGTTTCTGGCAGTGGCTGCAATAATTTGCACCGCAGTACCTTGTAAACCATTATAAGGTGCTACATAATGGGACTCATATTTCTCATAAACTTTATTTACCTTTCTTCAATAATAGACATTATTTCCAGCGCCTTGAGTACCTAATTGTTGGTAGATACGTGAGCTATATAGGACTCCGATATTATTATTATTATTATTATTAAAAAGCGCATGGAGCCCGTTGAGATCGTGCAATATCCATGACACAAACGTCAAGTCGACTTTCATAATTTGGCCTGGAAGTCTCTGTGTGGAATTGTAAAAAATTGTCGAATGGCAAGGGAAACTCAACAGCCCGAATATTTCACACTGAGATTGAACTGGATTTGAACGGGTTAATTCAATGGTTGCGAAAATTCAAAAATCTTAGCCAAGAATCAAACAGTGTGACTGACAATATAATCATTTCTTGCCTTGGATATGTGATTTTGGGAAGGGATCAAACTACAACCTCTTGAGCAGTTTCAAAATAGTATCACCTAGAATGGAAACCCACATAAATAAATGAATGGTAATCCTTACTTTTAGGACCCCGTTCCTATATAGGACATGTAGGAAGGGAAAGACTCACCAAAAACAGTTGATTAAATGACACTCACAATGGACATTCTGATATTTCTTGACACATCTGAACAATTGGCAATGACCTTCTTGAATATCAGTAGGTTTGTGGAAAGAGGGCAGGGCTTTGATTTTAGAGGGAAATTGAGGGGTAAAAGACGACGATGACAACCAGAAAACAGACTCAAAAACCAAGATGGCAAACGTGAAAGCTCAATGCAATGAAAGCTCGATGCTGATTGGCTGATAAAAAATAAACATCTCATTTATTTTTTTCAGCGACCAATCAGCATCGGGCTTTCATTATATAGCGCTTTCACTCGTGTCGTGAGAACTACAACATGCACGTCTGACTGCTAAAAAAGGTAGGAAAGTCACATTTTCTTTGAAAGTGCTTTCAAAATTACAACTAACATGAGTTTATATGAAGAGAAAAGACTGCATTAGCCTGCAAAGGTCATTTTGGTACTAGACAGCCATCTGCAAAAGTCAGTTTTGAACACAACTCATAAAAAATTGAGGCGTCCTAAAGATAAGGATTACCAAATGAATAAAGAAAACCCACGTTCTCACCTTGCTTGTCTTGACATAGGTGCCACTCTCGTAAAGATCTCTGGCCAGTCCAAAGTCCGACACCTTGATCACCATACCCTCGGCCACCAGGATATTCCTGGCCGCCAAATCTCGGTGGACAAGCTGAACGAGAGAACAAAAAGCCACAAATTGATTTTTGAAACCCTGCAGTGTGATGCCGGATTTTCTGCATATCATGCAATTTTTTTCCCAACAATTGAGGGCGCTGCTATAACACCATTTAAGGATACAAATCGTCAGGGCTTCACGAAGGGGACACGGCTGTTCCAGCGCAAAATAATGGCGCCCTCTGTCGTTCTAATCGCGCCAATCGAACATCTCCGTAAAATGACGTCACCGACACTCTTCGTGGGTCGGGCCAAGCGAGTTTCGTATCATGAATATTTATATCTGGGAATATTTGGAATGTCATTGGTAGATTAATCGGTCAAAGTTCAAAATGTTTCTTATTCAAAAGGTTGTTATTTTCCCCTTATTTCCATATATGAATATCAGCTCATGAATATTAAATTACTGAAAACGGCGTCCGTCAAAACTGGTGTTCGACCGAACTGATTATCGCGGTGTGTGGTCATGTGACAAATTTGTCACATTAAAAGGTGTTTTTCTCCAAACAAGAGGTTTTCCCCGATGTAAGGCCCACATCAACTTTGTTTTGGAGATACGTGCTGCATATGTGTCCGGTTTGAAGGTAAGGCCAGCGGTAGATTTGTTGATATTTAGGTGCAAAAAGTGACATATTTTCGTGTGTGCGCGGAATGCCAAACGGTCGAGTTGGTTGTAAAGCGTACATGGTACGCGCGTGTGTATCACGCATAGCCAAAGCGCTTGATGGTTTAGAGACAACTCGACCGTTTGCGTGTTCATGTATTTGTACGGGCACGCGTGCGGATCTAACCCGTACCTAGGTTCGTGCATGTGTGGACGAAGTTCCTCCATTGGCGTGATGCACATGTACATGACATGACATGTCGTGTATTGTGCTACAACTTTGTTATACATGGGAAAGATTTCCATACATAAATTACATCAACATGATCAACTAGGCCTTAATTGGAAGGTAAAAAAAATGCTATTTGCACGATTCAGTATAAAATCAATAAAAACAATACGAACAGGTCATGACAACAGAGAGAGAAAAATGCCCCCCCCCCCCCAAAAAAAAATGAACATTTCATAACAATTTGATTCTGACATAAACAGGATGAAAGTAGTTAACATGTCGGACTAAATCTTTTTTAATTGTACATGCCACCTTTCGTGTTCGCAGAACTTATTCTGGCATGTCTGACGTTGAATTTATTTCAGGCTTTGCATATTTATTCAGTAATGCTTAGCCAAATGCCAAATCCATTTTCATGTAAACACATTAGTGCCTCAGCTTCATGGGGACATGAACAAATTGGCAATTCTAAATTGAGGTGTTTTGTTTCTGTGTGATCCTGTACCATACAAATGGATCTTTTTTTTCTAGATCACCAACCTTCCCAAATTTTCCAGCCACTTTAGACTTTGCACAGGCCTTATTTTGCAGTGTGCACCCCCCCCCCCCCTGATAAAGTAATGGTGTCATGATACATCATGTACATGTGACATGCACCACTGCTTTAGTGTTGGCGGTACATGTAGAACTTTGAATGTATGGCTACATTTCTCCCATGCCCCACCCCCATCCCACCCCCTAATAAAAGCAATTGTACATGTGATCCTGTTTTCTGAAAAAAGCATTTTGTTATGATTTTTCAGGAAGTTTGCAGTATCATTCTCCTGACAAGAGGGTTTCTCGTATCTTCTGGAGCTCTGGTGAGATGGTGGTGTGATGAGCCGTTGACTCCTCGTGATGAGCCGTAGCGTACAGTGGAAGTGAATCTTTCATCCCACGTTTGTGCATGGAGGATCAGGATTACACAGACATGAGCATGTGTTGGGTGTATTTTTGGTAACTGAATGTGTGCAAAACTGTGTGATGCCATGTGCACTGCTAGATTTGAACAAACCCTGCACCACCTTGATCGGACACATTAAGAACTTCTATTGTCTACTTGCCAAGGAATCACTCTGGAATTTAAGCTCAGGATTCACACATCACACATGATCACTCGCGATGGACTGGTTCTCGCTCCCATAATATCGGATATGTTTACATTTTAATGCCCATTTATGGCCATTGACTGGATCACCTCTGCACATGTGCAGTACAATTTTGTTTTTTGGAAAATGATATTTACATTCTGATTTCTCGTGCATGGCCATCGCAAAACTGACTCGTACATGAACCATAAACAGTAGGCAAAATGGTCATGTCTCTACTGAAACTGCATTAATGACAACATTGTTGCCACTTTGAATGGGCTGGATCCATGCTTACATTATCATTGTGATTTTGTACATAAGGGCAGAATTGTGACCTAGGCTAATTTGTATACATTGGTAGGAATTCCTCCAGGACTACTGCGAACGACACTCCCAAGTGCCAAAATTATGAATTGAAATACAACTGGATATTAACTTTCACTGAAAATCAACTAATTGTTGACACTACTAAAATGCTATTATTACATTAGATATTTTTATCGGCGCTTTTTTTAAAGTAAGTCAATAGGCTACTAATAACAAGTTTTAAGTTGGCCTTCTTTTCCATACTTTAAAACAGATGAGACTTTTACGTGTACATTGTATGTGGATTGCTTTTTTAGGTGTACTGTGACCAATGGGAGACCAAAGGATTTCACTAAATTGGCCGCCAACTTAAATAATGAAATAAAGTAAAAAATAAATATTACCCTGCCAGTTTTTAAATCTAATATTCAATTGGAGTCTGCCTTTGCTTGTGCCACATGCAATGATTGGCTGCAGCCTCTACTATCTCTGGGGGAATGCGGCAATCTCTATATATGCTGTGTGATGTCATGTGGCCATAGATTTCAGCAACCTTGCTGGTTACTTTTGCTTCTTGGAAGGGTTCTGGACAGAACTGTTGTGCTGACCTGACTCGAAACTGTAACCGACCCAACCAAAAACCAACTGTGTGTTTGGTCGGGTCGGTTTGTCCGTCATTTCAATTGGGTTGGTCAGTTTTGTGTTTGAAAATTTGCGGATCGGGTCGGATCGGGTCAATTCAAAACCCGAAATAAACGGGGAAAAAAGATGGAAACAGTTTGGAAATTAACACAGCGCAGGATTTGGATTATATCTATAATGTTTCGCATCGGTTTGGCCTGTAGTGGACCCGACCCGAAGCAAAACACTACTGGACAGGGAGGTTTTCGAAGTTTTCGAGGTTTGGATGAAGCTAATCTGGGGCACTTGTGGACATATGCAGGACTGCATTTGCTCGAGTTTTCCTAATAGCCCGAACAGTCCTGAATCCTGGAATTTTAATACGCTTCCCCCCCCCCCCCCCCCCCAGGGAGTTAGGGTTAATGAAAAATGTTTGAAGTGATAAGTGGTGCACCCGTAGTGGTTTAACTCCATGAATATTGCTGTGCAAATAGGGGCAGGATATTGTTTCTTTTATGAATTTTTTAAACAATTTCAAGCAAACTTGGAGCATTACATTTGTTCATATAATCATAAGGCCGTCTGACCTACAGGAGTCTGATGTAGAAAGCTCATCCTGCTTAATATTATTGGTGTTCGTACAAAATTATTTGAATTCTTAACATGCATGATCTTGCCGGAGTTCTGCTGAATATTTCCCCCACAAACCACCGGCCTGTGACTCTCAGCGCACGGTTTCGCTGCGCTGCAGTTCAGCGGGTAGGGCAGTGCGACAACGCCGTGTTAACGCCGCGCGTGCCCCGGTGGTGTGTGCATGCGTTCACGCCCTACAGCTATTGTGCCGTGTGATGTGCGTGTATACCGCACGGTGTTCGTGAAAAGTGGCTGTATTTTAACGGTTCTAAAACAAAATCTACCGCTGGCCTTCGAATGAAACTTCATGAGTCATTTAAGATGGTCCTTATTTACAAGAAGTGACCAAGGAATATTTGGGGAAAACTTGGTATCAATAATAAAACGGGATTTTCGTCGGGGATTTTTAACAACTTCCAAAACAAACAGCGACAGAAAACCTTACGCACGAAGCGTAATCAAACCTGATTTTTACAGGTATTTTGAACTTTATGGGCCAGCTCAATCTCCCAATGTGTGGAAACTCACGTTATCTGTCAGAATTATAGTATGGCACCATAAGACATTGTGTGAGTCATGATTTAGGGGCAAGTTTGGGGCATGTTTTTCGTGTTTTGTTTTCGTGAAAATTTAGGACGCCATCTTGAATTTCCAAAATTGCATGACGTCATCACTTTGATACACTGGAGTAAACAAACGCTGTGCGGACAAAATTGCTCAAGTTAATTACGTTATGTCTATGGGATTGAAACGGCCGTGGGGAACAGCAATGCATGTTTTGGCAAAGTGTTTTGGTCAAAATCAGTTTAAATCAACGAAAGGGAAGATATAATTCGTCGGATCAGTGCTCGACATCGCGTTGCTGCAATCGGCTCAGTGAGAACGTGTCTCGGACGCTGAATTCAGGCCCAATTCAAAACATGATTTGGCAACTTTTGATTTGAAATTGAGATCCTTGAATGCTGTTATTCTCAGAATATACAGCTGAAGCTGAGCTGAAACTTTATCAGGTTAGTTGTTCAGTACCCTTCTTTAGATTTTGAGCACTTTTCTTGCTTCAAACGAACAAAATGCACAAATTACAAATGATGGACTATATCCTTAATAAACCTCAATTTATACAAAGGAGACGTAGTCACCTTCAGCATTGCCAAATATTGCATCCCTTTGCATATCTGCCAGGCGAAGGACAGCAGATCCCGATTGTTCCAGACGATCTGGGCCCTGGCGGCTTCGTCGTGAATTTTGTCGTAGTCGTGCAGCGAAGCGTCGTCGTCCTGATAAACAGCTGTCGAGCGGTTCCGCCGCAGGAAGTCGCGAAGGCAGCCGTGGCGGCAGTATTCAACGATGACATAGAGTGGACCTGCCGAAATATAATCGATTGCATAATCGCTGACGGCTGAACAATGCTCAAGTCTGGTAGACTTCAAAATTTTTAAAAATGATTGTTGTCTTTACGGTGAGCCAGCTTACCTTTTTGCGTTGACGCACCCAAAAGCTTGACAACGTTTGGATGGCTCAGATCCTTGAGGAGGTTCATCTCGGTAATAAGATCTTGCAAGTCATCCGCGGAGTATGAACCTGAAGTGCAAAAACAGTAATCCTCAAGGCATTCCTTTGGTATTCTTGATACCGGCGTTACTTGTGGCCGGACTTGACATGTACTTGTGACCAATGTGATTGAAATTTACAATGCAAAAATTCCACATTACGTCATACAATATGAAAACCTCAAGTCCTCTATCAAGGTCTTCAGTCTCTGTTTGTGCTAACTAAACACTTGAATGAACTCTTTGTCAAATGACGGACTTCAACATCTAATGCTAGGTTCGCACATTCCCAAATTATTGCCACGAATACCTCGATGTATCCCGAATACAAATTAATGATGGCATCATTCGCTGTTTGTAAGAACAATTTAAGAATGACACAAAAATAATCACGAACTAGGAACGAATTGGAAGCCAAATCAAACCGATAGTTATGAATACAACAAGAATAAACCAGGAATTGAAATTAGTTCCCGAACCACCCCGACAATTTTGAACATGTCCAAAATTATAAGATGGAATTTTTGCGCCGGGGTGATATAAATCAAATTAGGTTTTGCCCTTCACCAACGTTTAAACACTGTATACTCAGTGTGTTACTTCCCGAGAGAAAGTTGAAAAAAATAACTCGGGTGGGACTCAAACCCACGACCTCCTGCTTTCTAGTGCAGATGTCTTACCACTCGACCACCGAGCTAACGGGATCGTTTTGCCAGTTCGAATCTGGTGTAACACACCGAGTATACAGTGTTTACGTCGGTGAAGGGCAAATCCTAATTTGATGTCCAAAATTGTCGTGGCGCTTCCCGATCATCTTTCACCGAACTAACAGAATCATCCCGAGGCAGCCAAGAACAACTCCCAGATTTACTCAAGAATTGGTATACACTATTGACACTTACCTTTGAGCATTTTCACAGCTACCGTGGTGTACCCAGTGTGGCCCCGTAGGCTGAGTGCCTGCGCCCGCACCACGCAGCCAAACTCCCCCTCCCCAAGGACCTTGTCCAGCACAAGATTCCGGCGAGGAAACTCCCACTTTGGGTCGAACTAAAGACAAACAAGGACATTAAATAATTCTAGACATTTTTCACTTTCTGGACACTGTCACGAGATTTCGGACGGATATAATCACCTACATGTATCCTGCATTGATGTACGCATGATACAGGTTGTCCCACACAAAAAACTTATTGCATGTGGGGTTTGGGAATATTTTCAAATTACCTCTTGAAGTCAGATAACCAGTCTACCATACAAACTTTATTTCATTGAACGGTGCATCTTAAGACGCACCGTTGGAAAGACCTTCTTTCGTTGATTACTTCAAAATGACAGCTTGCCAGAAAGAATAAATTCACAGGGAGTTTAGTCTCCTTACTATCTTTCAACCAAGTATGTTTTTCAACAATAATTACGCCAGTTACTTTTCGGATGGCTGCAAATGATGGATTATAGCTTTAATTCCATTTGTTAACAAACAAGAGTTATTTATGATCAAAAGTAGGACATGTTTTTTTTTTACACATAGTATATAAAACCTGCTCGAACAGGGGAAAAACAGTACAGACCTCAGTTTTTAACCGTGTGACGGAACCCTTGCTGAGGTGCAGCCCATCGTCCGAACACTCAGACAGCACCGAGTTGAGACGCGAGTCCGACCCCCCGATGACCACGGGCGGTTTGTAGTCCCGACTGGAGAAGAGCCGTCGGAGTGGGGAACCGCGACTGGCCCGTGTGTAGACGAGGACAGCAAAGGCGCACAACACCAAAAAAGCCATCACTACCGCGATCAGGCTGTTGCAGTAGGTACACTCATCGGTGCCCGATCCGTCGGGCTGGGAGACTAAGAGGCTTGGGCTCACTGTTGTCAGAAGTGAATAGGGAACCAGACCTATTGTGGTTGCTGCACATACAAAAAACACCAACGATTACGCGACTTTCATAATGCTGTCCGGTACCGTGCCTTGGGGAAAGTCAGTTCTGCGCAGTAGAACGTCCCTCGCCATTCTACATTTTGTGGCGTGGGTTCCAATCCCACCCAAGCTGATATTAGGCCATCAGCCTGGGGGTTTGGTCAGTATCAAATCAGGGCATAAATGATTATAGTGCGCATGCGCAAGGTATACCGCCCCTAGAGTGGTAACAAGCATTTTGATGGCCATTTTGAAAAAAAAGGGTGATAACACCAAAAAAGCTGCCACCGCTGCAATGCTATCACATATTTTCCAATTCTGGAGGTGTATACCTTGTCAAAAATCACTACGACGATTATTCCCCTCATTTGATACCGGTGGCCAAAATTGTGCATCGAGGCTGATGGCCTACTATATGTACATTGGCATTTTAGATTCTTTTCAATCGGGTTTCCCTTGAATATCATTCCTTGTAACTATTTCCCTTACCGAAAATCACCCCTCCCCCCAAAAAAAAATAATAATAATAAATATAAAATAAAATAGAAATAATCGCTTTGTATCAAGACACAACTCAAATCCGATCCCACTCATTCGATTCAATCTTCTCCTATATAAAATTATGTTAAACGATGTTTGCAACATGAGCCTTGAATAATTGTTTCTACAAAAGAAGTCAAAACTGTTACACTGTGTACACCGAGATTCCAAATGCTACTCTAATTGAATGATGTTAAGTAAGTAGGCTACTTCCTGCCCCATGAAACAAATTTGTTCACGATTTTCCAAAACCCGGCTTGGTTTTTAGCTGTGGATATCTGACTATAAAATATTTAGAAGCATTCGGCACGGTGTTAAATCGAAATAAAAATATTCCACCTATTCGCTCTGTATTTCACAATGGGATCAATTTTTTTTAAGCTACAAAAAACTGAACGCCAGTGGTCTTACAAAATTGAGTTGAAGCTGGAACGAGGCTGAGGTTTGTAAAACTGATCCTAAATTTGGTTGCGGAGGACAATATTTATTCCAGCTATATTTCTCACTCCTTTAGGCCATTTTACACATGCTCATTACTCTATATAGGCCATCAGCCTGGGGGTTTGGTCGGTATCGAATGAGGGAATAATAGTCATTGTGATTGTTGGCAAGGTATGCACCCCTGTAGTTGGAAAAATATGTGATAGCATTGCAGCGGTGGCAGCTTTTTGGGTGCTACATGTATCACTTTTTTTTTTTAAATGGCGACCAAAACATGCTTGTTGCCATATATAAGTAATCCGGTAACAAGCATATTGGCGGCCATTTTGAAAAAAAAATTAAAAGTGATAACACCCAAACAACTGCCACCGCTCACACTGCAAAGCTATAACACTTCTAGGGGTCGTTCAGACACCGTTTTAAATTCCCTTAAAACACCGGTTGAACTCGATTCAGTGTAACTTTCTTGCTAAAACGATGTCTGAACGCTTTTTTATTTAGACCGAATCGAGTTAAACTCGAAGATAAAATGGCAACTTAAACCCCCTCGGAGGGAGGGTTTAGCAAATAACCAGAACGAGTTTATCTTCCAGTACGATGTCTGAACGGTTTTAGCTAAAACGCTGCCCGTTTTAGCCAGCGCAGTGACCCGGAGTTACATAACGCTTTCTCCGTGGCGCGCTTTTGTATTAAGCAAACAATGTCCTTAATTCTCCGTCCGTAAAAAAAAAAATCCAATTTCAAGTCCAATTTCCGCAAGTTTTCTGACCACATGGTCCGAGTTTCACATCGTGCTCACTCGCATGACAAACATTTAGATGCCAACGCAACAACCGCTAACCGGAGCATAATTATCATAATACACTAATATATTCAACTACCAGGAAAACCTTGGCGTCGATTGGTCACTATTGCAACGTTAATATCACGTGTATTTTCACGTGACTGACATGTTGTGCGGGCAAGATGATGTGTTAAACTTTGAGTGAAATCTGTTCAATGACGTCTTGTTTCGAACACTGGTTTTCGAACAACTTTTCAGAACATTTTTTATGTCTTTTGGCACCACGAAAGGTACAAAAAATAGCCCCCCAAAATGTAAACACAAATGGTGTACTATGTAAGGTCGATGTACGATACTTCCAAAAAATGGGGAAACTGCCGTGGTGGACAAGTGACTGTCGTCATGTTTACCGGCGTGCCACGCTACATGACCGGCCGGGGCTGCGATGTCAAACACGGCATGGCAACACGTATCACACGGTGAGGGGCTTGGACCACGTGTAGCGAACTGTAAAAATGGAAGAGCCAAGGCTCTTTTTAGCGCGCGGTTTTTGCCGAGGCGGATGTTCTTCGTGACCTTAGAAACTGAGATAAACTACTTCGAGTTGAACTTTCTATATTTAAAACGATGTCTGGACGCTCGGTAGTTTTATTTTTACGACGGGCCTCCCGTGGTGAGCGACCGTTTTAACTTTTACCGTTTTAGCTAACACGATGTCTGAACATGGCCCTAGATGTGCATACGTTGCCAAAAATTGCTATGACAATTGCTCCTTTTGATCATTTGATACCGGTGGCCCAACTCATGGATCGAAGCTGCATCAGGTGTTAGTGCTTCTAGTGGCTTTCCGAGTTAGGGCCTGTAAACTCGGAAAGAATACAGTACTTCTAGCCTTACACTCTTATCTTGTTAATCCCTTTGTCAACAAACTGTCCCCTGTTATCAGATAAAGCTGCTAATCCCCAGTCAATATCAGCTGTGTGACAGCACATGTGGCTTTATTACACTAAGTGTTAGGGATTATAAAGCCACTGCTTGGACAAAGGATTAAGATAGATAAGAGGGCTGGCCAGTTTACAGTTTAGATTGACTGTTTTCTCTCGGAAGTTTCTAGTGGAGGTTACTCGCAATGGATAGCCTAATACGTACGATCAACACGTTGCTGCAGCATGGTGGTGTGTCGTTGCAAATTGACGGGTAGCCGTCTGTGCATACACATGCACCCCAGTCCATCGAAGTCACAGGAGCATGGGCCTATGGCGCTCTTGATGCCCACGTTGTTGCCATTTAGCGTCATAGAGAACATTGAATTGGCACCCATTGTCTCTACATTTTCGGGGAAAAAAAGATAAATAAAAAGAGAATGAAACAAAACTAAAGGCAGTACATTTTGGGCATCTGCATGCAGCCTATATTAAAAACAATGCTTCTACTTTTAAATGCTTTTGCGGACAAAGAGATCCGCCCTTCGACTAGACTGGTTCCCGGTTTCCTTAATTATAGATTCTTATAGAAGCGGAAACTTGTCTTATCTGTGCAGCGAGAAAAAAATATTGCAGGGCTGCCAACAATGCCAAATCTGTAGGGAATTTATCTCAACAACGGCTGATTGTTATTGTTCAAATTAGCCTCATTCGTTTAAAAACCTCTGTATTATAAGCAACATAACAATTATTATCTATTTTGGTATTTACACTGGTAAAAAGTATGGACAATACGTATCAAAGTTGTTGGTCTTTGCCTATGCTCATGAAACATGCACCTTTGTGTTTGTCTATAAATAGCCACCACCATTCGGGCGATTCACGATGCAGTGCGCCACCACGAGTTTGCCATGCAGAGTCAACTTTTCAAGTTTACGGTCGACAAAATATGGCCCATTTGAATGAGTGTCAGTAGAAAACTTGAGCTATTATGTTATAGATAGGAGCATAGCGTTTCTGCCGCCTTACAAAAAATCACCATATTGATACAAAGAAAAGAAAAGGGCAAACATATACTTGTAATATACGCTTACGAAACTAATGACCGGAAAAAACGAACAATTTCAAATGTCCCGCGCTGCGAATTTGTCGACCATCTCCCACAATGCACTGGGAAAAATGAACTCTCCGTGGCAAACTATTGGTGGTGCTCTGCACTGTGAATCGCCCGAATTAACCGCAATCGTAAAAATTTGAAGAGCATTTTAAGCTCTGGCTTCTACATGTTACTTGGCGGTCGGTCGGTCTGTAAGTCTGTTCCCGGAAAATTGACCAAAATAAGGACCCATCAGTTTCCCACAAAATGTATAACTACCAAAAAAAAAAAGGAAACAAATAGATTAAATACTTAACAGAAATTGTTTTATAACGATTTGGAAAGATGTTAATGAAAACTTCGTATTGGAAGCAAAAGATGCGCAGTAATGTAGTTATGTGGTGTTAATACCAAATAACTACAACTCTAGGTTTACATCTGAAGTTCCATATGTGCCATCGGCGTCGCATTTTGGGACGTCACATTTTTAAGCTCTGGCAGGGATTGTTTTGACAGAGTTCATGCAAGACTTTCATGCAAGACGGCCAGAGCCTATTGTGCACACGCATTTATGTGTTCATTTTCCGCGGGGAACCTTTGGTGGTGTCCTTTCTGTTGCCCACCTATGCAATCCTGCGGGCACAGCCGCGGATGAAGCCTTTCCAGATTGTCGCAGACGCCATCGGGGCAGGTCCTGAAGTCCGGCGAACACGTCGAGAAATCCTCGGAGCAGGCCTTTGTGTTTTGCTGCTCGCGCCACCTGCAGCGGCCGTCCGGTGCACCGATGCCGCAGGCGCTGACGCAGTCTTCCCTGGCATTGTGCCTGGAGCAAGTAGCTGAAGAGGCTTCTACAGAAGAGGGATAAATGTGATCCAACCATAGAGCTATATTAAATTACTAGAGCTCTAACTCTTCATTCTTGCGCGGGGAGAAGCTTTGAAGCCGCTCTGGGCGCAGACATTTTGAATTTATGTGCGTGTTTGTGGAACACAATCAAAAGATGGATTGAGTTTCTAAAGTGTACTCAAAATGCAACACGCAAGTAGAACGTACGCAAACAACTTATGCGCGTCATAACGGTTAAAAAAAGTCTCGGCGAAAAGCAACTGCAGCAGGGAGCTAAATGACACGCTCATTTGCTGATCGTGTGTTTCGGTTTGGGGCGCATTGGCTTCGATGACGCACCGATATGGAATACAAACGCAGATATGCAAATAGACGTACAAAATACGTACACCATTTCTAGTTCTCCATAGGTTTTGTGTACAAACATGGATGCGCCCAGCAGGCATCACTTTGTACATGAGTTAGCGCTCTAGTAATTTAATATAGCTCTATGGATCCAACAGAACAAAATGAGGCACAAGTACATTTTAGTGACCTGCCTTTTAACAGAATCTGAAAATGGGAAACCAATATGACCAATCAACATTTTTACCAACAAAATACACTCAACCAAAAAAGAAAGTCCCCCTTCCGATACTTTTTATGTCTAACTCAAAGAATACTGCACTCATCTCGCTCAAATAACGACTAATCAGTACTGGAATTCCTTAGCAATCCAGCCATTGTCTTTATTTGGCCCGAAACAATAAGTGTAAGAAATTATGCAATTTATGACAAATAATATCGAAAAAAAGTTGCAAATTGAGTGTACACCACAACCTGCATGTGTATACAAAAGTGCAACTTTTTTCGGTATCATTGGTCATCAACTACATAATATCGTACATATTGTCACTGTTGTGGGCCAAATAAAGAGTATGGCTAAACTGCTACGGAATTTCTGTACTGATTAGTTGTTATTTGAGCGAGAGGTGCTCAGTAGTTTTTGAGTTAGACAAAAAGTATTGGAAGGGAATGGGTTGGGCTTTCTTTTTTGGTGAAGTGTATAAGATGTCAACCTGATTAATATATATCAAGTTTGTGAACGTTGTATATCCCTAGGTTGTTATTTTCCCCCCTTTCTTAATAAATGCTTGTCTAAAAGCTTTTGTTTTAATTTTTTTTTTCAATATACGTGTGTTTACGGTAAACCAATTTAATTCAAGGAAATTACCTAGATCGCAGTTTGGCCTTTGTTTGGCGTTACCTGCAAGAGTAAAAAAATTATACATAATGGTTTTTAATACCGAGCTGTTATAGCTTGTCATAACACCTCACCCACAGATTCTGTGTCTTGATTGGCCGAGAGCGAGTCACATGATACTTTCTATTTTTGCTATCTTTCAGTGCACGACCAAAAGTACTATACCCATAGCAACCAAAGTACTATACCATGATTAGCAACCAAAGTACTATTTCCACGGCACGGTATTTGTGTGTAAATGCATGCTGGTATGTTGCACGTAGCGCGTATTGTTCCAAAGAGAACGCGTCACAGAGTTGGGTTCAAACATTTCGTGAAGGGGTGGTTTGGAAGAGAGAAATACATTTTCCACCAATTTTGTATTGAAATTGAAGTTTATTTCAACTGTGTTCAGATTTAAATAATTTAAAATATTAAAATCAAGCAGAATCTGTGGGTGAAGTGTTGTAAAACAAATATTGAATGCTTCGCCTCGGGAAAATAGAATGCTCCATGGATCACCGAGGGAGGCTAGTTTTACTACACCACTCGAAGCATTCAATATTTGTATACTATAACCGTATGAGCTATTTCAATCATCTAAGAATACAGCTGTGTGCCCAAAATTGCAATGTTATTGATGTACAGAAGAATGCTGAACAATTTTTTGAAGAAAAAAAAAAAATTTGAAAAAAGTCTTTATAATTACATGTACAGGTATGTATTTATTATCAATCCTCCAAAGAAAGATTGACCTTTTCTATACAGGGTGTCTCAAAAAAAAGGTAACCCTACTTGAAAGGGTTATTATGGCCAGACTATTTATCTACAAGCAAGAAGCAAGGTATCATCTGAAAGCTGAAGCTGTGCGCTTTTCAATGATACCTTGGGTTACATTCCAGAGTCACACATCATGGAGCACCATTGTCTTGAAGCTACAGCCTCGCAAAAAAACAAAGTTGTGGGTATTTCGGGACGCGCTTTATAGAGTACGAACATGTATAAAAATACAATCCAAATGTTGGGCCAGGCGCGATTTGAACCCAGGCCAAAGCGGTGGAAGGCGAGGAAAGTACCACTATGCAAACTTGATTCCCCAACACCAAAAGTAACAGTGTATATGAAGATTTTATTTGTGAGAATGTTTGAACGTCGTATTGAACTTACGCTCTCCTATGATCTCTATCTGCAATACCAGCTCGGCTTGGAGGCTTTCGCCACGCCAACCGACCTGCCTTTGCACAACAGCCGTGTACCCTGTCAGGCTGCGGTTTGTAAGGGGCGAGGTATCGACCACGTAGACAAGCAATGAGGAGTGTTCAAGGCGAAGGAGGCCGCCATCTTGGATGAGGCTGGTGGGAGGCTGTCGCTGGAGGGCGTTTGCGGGTTCGCACGATGGGAATTCCAGATCCACGACCTGATCGTAAGAAAAACCCGGGCATGGAATTAGTGGAAAGGTATACATGTACAAGCATTACATTCACTGTGTGGACTTCCGAACAAAAGATGTCCACATAAACAAGTTTTCAGATACATTGTGTGCCCACGTCCACACCCACACTTACAGTAGTATTTGGGGTTTATGGGGTACCACTATTGTTCGACCGTAATTCCCTTCTTTTGTTCTCCTTTGTCTCCTCAGAAATCTCAAAACCCATAGCGTTATGGTTATTGGGTACTTCAATTTCTAAAGACAGACTAAATTTGTCCCAAATGTTGCCCTTTGTTCCCGGTACCCCATAAGTGCCACTATGTAAGTGCACCCATCTTTGTAAACACCGGCAATTGTGGACCCCCTATTGTCCCTAATTTCACAGGTTTTTTTTAACAGCACGAAAAAAGGGAATGTCCACACTAGGTACATGTATGTAACGTCAACATGTGTGCGTTGGGACTAGCCAAACAGTGGGGATTCGAGGGCGCTGTTTGTTTTTGGGTAATTCCTTAAGCATTGGCCCAAATCAATAGCACCCTTCTTTTGTGTTCGCAACATCACAAATGTGACCTGCTGAGGCTAAATGAGCCTTTCCGTAGTTAACTAGCTAATGGACTATACTCTCTAAATATGTTAAGATATTTGCAGTGTGTTGTAAAAAAAAATGTGAAAATGAGGACGCTTTTGAGGTTCGGGATTTTGTTTTGAGACACCCTGTGTTAATTTGTTTATTCTTACCCGTGTGTACAGGGAGGCGTTCCGGTGTAAGGTAAGGTTCAGGACATGTTTCAGCAGCTGAATGTCAATCTGCACAGCTACAGCGACGTCCTGGGCGTGCGCTGATTGGCTGGTGTTGGCCGGGCCGTGTTGGCTTCCGTCCCGCAGATACACGGTGAGGGAGTGACGGGCCGCACAGCACCATGGGAAGGTTCGATTGAGCGTGAGCTCTGAAACAGAAAGCAAACACATCAACTCCATACATTTCTCTTTGCGAGAAGTTTTTCCGGGAAAATAGTGGCTGTCCCACCAAAATAAATATAGTTTCGACACAGGATACGGAAAACTAATTTGTTTTCCATTTGTGTATCGTCACCGATGCCACAAATTACATGTACATAATGCCAAAGTCCACTCACGTGTTACTGCATGAAAACCGCTATATGACAAATTTTTGTTTCATGAAGTAATACCTAGGTGTGTGCACGCACATCGGACACTGGCGCGAAAGATCTTCGTTTTCACTGTTACGGAAATACAATTTGGACCCAAAAAAGTTTTGAAACGTTTGACAGGATTGTACATGTAATTAATCCGTTCTCTTGTAGGACTACAAAAAAACAACTGGTGAAATAAAACGGGTGTTACTTTGTGTAAACGAAAATGGTACCGAGTTAGCGTACATTGTTCAATTGGCTCTGTAAAATACGTGTGAGTGGCGCACACTAAAGTCCACTCGAGTGTTACTTTGAGATCTTGGTGTCGTTGACGGTATGAGAAAAAGCACTACAGCATGCTACAACACCTTTTTTTTTATTGAACTAGTAGTTTGTACATGAAAGAGTCTACAACCATACCAAGTTTAAAGATATCGGTGGTTGAATTGTTTAGGTCAGAGGCAGCTTTTTGAGGGTTTAAGGCACTCAGTGTTTATCTTACCACCAATGATTTTCCCGCTGGACTGCTCCAGGGCTGCCGTTGGTGGCGTGCTCGTTGTTGGGATGAAAGCGTAGGCATCTTGGTGTTTTCCCGCCAACGAAACGCCAATCGTCTGCCAGTTCTGGACTCTTGGGTCGTTCGTCTGAATCCACACAAGGTGATCCCCCTTAAACCAGAATGAAATACTGTATGGTACTAGTCGGGCTGCGTTTGCGTATGCACGACTTTTAAATGTTTTTTTACGGCTGAAAATATAAGGCCACATTTTTACAGGCAAATTTCCATTGCAACCTCAACACTGTATAACAAAAAATTGATTAAATGCTGTTGGACAATGTTATTTGCCAAACACCGGTATGAAGGTACCCCATTGGTTCATTCGGATACAAATTGACCACTTATTGGGAAGAATTTGCCCAAGGGTGTCGGCAGTTGGTGTGTTGGGTTGATTGGGCAAAACACCAATCAATTTGCACACATTGTTTTAGTGTATACTTAACCTTTTCTGGACGTGGATACTCCACATTTTCCATGGCGTACCATTTCAGGAATTTTAAAGCGACAAGCATACAAACAAATACATCAACAAATACTGACAACCCAAACAAGAAAAGAACAAGCAAAAACGAAGTGGAAATTTTAGCTTGTGCAGGCAAGCATATCAGGTCATACTAGGTGTCGACTATCTAAAGTTAATAACCTCAAACAGGAACCCTATATATGGAAAACAAAGTAGGCCTACTGTTTGCCAACAAGTTATGGAAGTCAATCAGACCCTTGAACTTACACCTAATTAAATTGTTTTCACCTAAGAGATTGCCTGGAACTAGTTGCATAGAAGTAGTTGTCAGGTATGTCACGGCCTTAAGCCTTAGTTGTGTTTTCACTGACCTTTGACCTGTTTTGTCTGACGCTGATGACGTACCAGTCTGGCACTTGTTCAACCTGGATGGCAATCACTCTGGATTCCGTTCGAGTCTGGTCAACTCCTCTCGCAGAATGTTCAGCTGTGCATTTCACTGTTAAATTTCTAGACTGCAGTGGTGTATCGGAGTGGCGTATCAAAACTAATTCCGATGTCTGGTTATCAATGTAGAGACCTTTAGAGATTTGTTCTGAAAGAACAAAAGGGGGGGGGAGGGGAAGAAGTGGAATTAAAAAAAGTCTTGTGCAATATTCCTTGACAATCTCTAGATCTCATCAGCTTTCCAAAATTTTCCAACGAGAAATGGACTTTTCATGAATTTTTAAGGGATGAAGATGTTCATAATGCGTGTTGCCAAAACAGAAGAAGAGAAAGCTCGTCTGCATGGCATCGAACCGTACACTCCCACTAGCTATTTCTATTATCAACGAGGTAGAAAGTAATCTCTTGGAACGAGGCTGCCAATACAGGCAACAGCGCCACCAAATGTCAGATTTTGTGCAGTATACTGTCTACCATAAACAGCGCCCACTTGGTTTCTGATATCCCCTTTTTTCTACGAATCTCAGTCAATCGGTAAACTTCTAAGAAAAAAACATATTAAAATGATCGATAATTTTAAAGCGCTTAGCGGGACAAGACATTTCAGACAATATTTTGACGAGTGTCGTACCGGGTAAAAAGGAGTATTTCAAAGAGGCACCATTGGCAGATAAGCATTGAGGGTCGAACCACAGAGCTCCAAAGGGACCGCTATCAGCGTCGGACCGGAGCCGGAATACGTAGCTGGCCTCCCCGAAGCAGGAACATAGAGGGGGCGACGGGGCGATGTTCACCGTCACCACAGCAAGGGCTTGCAGTCCAGGGTCCAGGTCAGAAACTCCGGTGTTTTCCCGCCTGGTCCAGGCAGAAATGTGTAACGTGAAGTTCCAACCTGTATGTGAAGCAGAAAACAATGCATACTTCGTTTGTGGAAATTGAATGCGAATTAGAATTTTCCAAGGTGCCATACTGTTGATAAGAGGTAGTTATCGCCACTTGTACAGGTACTTTAACCCTAAAAGGGCCGGGGGGGGGGGGGGGGGGGGAAGTTTCCACGATAGTAATCATAGCCTTGAAATTTTTTTTTCCGTAACCCGAGCTGTTATAACTTTTTAGCCTCGAGCCTTGCGCATCTTTTGATACCAAAAACAAAAAATTCGGACCAAGGGTTGCCGTGCAGCGAAAAAATTTCCGGCGCTATGTATGCGCCATCAAAACTGAATTTTCCCATAGACACTGTGTACACAGAGCAGACTACCATTCGTACATATGAATAATTAATTAGCCATAATTCCAAAATCCTTTGACCTATAGTCATGAAATTTCTTGGGTATGTTCAAGATGAGTTGCTCTATGCATGTACCGAGTTTCAAAAATTTTCAACACTCGATGGCCGAGATCTTAGGGAATTCCCCCCCCCCCCCCCCCCCCCCCACTGAGATCAAAATAACTGGTCAAAATAACCCGGCCCTTTTAGGGTTAAGCCATATTTTTTAGCTGTGTGTAGCAGGTCAACGAATCATCGTGTCTCTCCATTAGATAGTTAGTTGGTTAGTTACCGTAGTAACAAATGTTGACATTGTCTTTTGCTCCTACATATTTTGACCAATTTCAACCAAACTTTGTCAAAAGTATCAGTAGCCCAGCCCCAACATGTCACATGACCAAACTTGGGTCAAAGGTCATCGGGGTCCAATAACCTGATTTGTTTTACTCAAAACACTACTCCTTCCTAGAAATTACATGACACAATCAATTGACTCGTGCATGATCACGAATTTGTTGGCCTGCAGCTTCTGAGATCTGATCGAGCTTGTTTTAACATTGTCAGTTCTGTGGCCAGATACATGTACATGTATGTATAAAACAGGTGTCTCCATTGGCCATTTACTTGAACTTATGGTAAAAGTACACACTTCTGATGTTGGCTATCTTTAGTAAACCATTTGGTAATTTTTGTCAATGTTTTGAGCAGTTGTGCCCTTTCCACCCAGAAGTAGTGAAGTTGATCTGCATACCAATCTAAAGCCCCATAAATGTGGCCAATTTACTGGACTACCTCTGTAAATAAAGGCCACACTTGGAACATGTACCCAAAAATGCAGAACTTTGTCAAGTTGTTATTGTCACATATAGACTGTGTTTGTAGTTTATTTATGCTTTTGAAGCACACTCACCCTCTTTAAAGCGATAGAAAATTAGTCCCCCCTTTTTCAGACGTCTATTTTCGTGTAATTTTGGTTTGGAATTTAGATAATGTGTGCAAAATTAACCTGGAAATTACACGAAATACAGACATCTGAAAAAGGGGGAATAGTTTTCTATCGCTTTACAGAGGGTGAGTGTGCTTCTAAAGCATGAATAAATAAAAACAACGTCTAAATGTGAAAATGTGTGGCCTTTTATTTACACAGGAAGTCCAGTAAATTGGCCACATTACTCAGCTAGCTTGAGTAACTCCAGCTAAACAAACTCATCAGGAATTCCCATGTAACGCTGGAGGCAGATGTACGTTGTAAATGTGAGATCGTAAGGGACCCTTAAAAAAACAGCCTCCATGAAATGGTTCGTTTCCCCTCTACCCCAACCCAGATTCCATTACAAATCTATCCTCATACCATGCTCTCAGTCATTCACGATGCTAATGATGGACTTCAAACAGAACAAAAGTTACCAAAATATGAAAAATAATGATGATTTCGGTGGCTCTGTTTCAGAAAAATCGTCCAGTGCTGCACTGTCATGGCCGGCTGTGGTGTGGTTATTGCGTGCTTGAGCCGATCAGCCAATCAGATTATTCCATGATTATTCATGCTGAGTAGGACATCCAACAGCCGTCGGGTCAGTAGTACATTCTGCATGTACACAGTGCAGTCCATTGGCCATGACCCGACTGCTGTTGGATGTCCTTATCAGCCACCTTTGATTCATCAAACTGTATTGATTCTAGTTCTCCACCCTTTGAATGTTCCTTTATATTCACTATCATATGATTCGTTCATCACCTACCTGTTAAGTTTCCCCTCGCGTCGACTGGCTGTTGTAGAAAAATCCTCCCTGTTTGCTGTTCAACTGCAAAAAGGTTGCGTGCCCCCACTTCCTCCTCGGCCCCGCCCCTGCTGGTGCCCCCCTGCCCCTCACTAGTTAGCCCATCGCTCCCAAAACTCTGGGTCACTTCCAGCGCGTATGACACGCTCGCGTTGGGCGGTGTCGACCGGGTGTAGACCTGCGCGATGGCCTGGTGGTCCGGAAAGTCATTTGGAATGGTTGTCGTGAAGGATTCCAAGGTGAAATAAACGCTCTCTTCAGACGCTGTTAGTTGTTGAGGAAAAAAAGTAATTGAAATGGAATTAGACGCAAGCAGCTTCAATTCGGGCGATTCACAAAGCAGTGCGCCAACAAGAGTTTGTCATGGAGAGTCCATTTTTCAAGTTTAACTACGGTCGACAATAGCCCCATAAATGTGGCCAATTTACTGGACTACCTCCGTAAATAAAGGCCACACTTCCACCATGTACAAAAACATGTAGAACTTTGTCCAATTTAGATTTTCACATTTAGGCTTAGTTTGTAGTTTATTTTTGCTTTAGAAGCATACTCACCCTCTTTATACGTTAATAAGAAAGTGCTGCCTTTTTCAGTTGTCTATTTTTCGTGAAATTTCCAGATTCGTTTGCACACGTTTGCGTATCAAAATTTCAACATGAAATTTCACGAAAATTAGACATCTGAAAAAGGCAGCACTTTCTGATTAGCATATAAAGAGGGTGAGTATGCTTCTAAAGCAAAAATAAACGACAAACTAAGCCTAAATGTGAATATCACAATTTGACAAAGTTCTACATGTTTTTGTACATGGTGGAAGTGTGGATTTATTTACAGAGGTACATGAATAGTCCAGTAAATTGGCCACATTTATGGGGCTAGGTCGACAAATGGTCGATGTTGTGTGCTTTCTTGCAATTCACGCAATCTTAAGAATGAGCGCACATTCTTAAGACCCAGCGCGCATTCTTAAGAATGAGTACGCAATCTGAAGAATGAGCGCTCATTCTTAAGATTGCATGGGAATATCACGTGCACAATTTATGAATTTTGTGCAATCTGAACAAACACTGCAAGGCATATCATAATGTTAAATGAAATGTATATAGCGCTTTAGGGGAAAGAATTCATATACATGTAACGAGGATGGAAAGTGATCCATGCTTCTGCACTCGCATAACTACGATAATTTGAATAAAAATTAAACCTGTTTTTATTGCTTTTTTTTCAGCCCACTATGGGAAGTTTTGTAATAACGGAGGACTGGGAACTAGTCTGGGAAGTGCTTTGGCTAGACAAGTTACAAGTCCCTAGTATGGCCAGGGGGGGGGGGGGAGGATGTTAGAAAAGGTTTCTGACTATGTCAATAGAGGGCACTATTTCTTGTTTATTTCTCATGTAGAATTTTCAGCGTTTTTATCCCAGATTTTCGCATTCCAAAACAAACTGTGGATTGGGGAACAAAGCTTTTTTTCAATAGGGTAGGTACACCATAATCTACATGTCTGTGAAGTTTTATCAAATTCAGCGAACCAGACCGCGTGGCGAGCGAAAGCTCGTCCCACTAATGTGTTCTCTCAGCATGCATATGATACATACTTTCCTATCCACTTTACTTTTTATTGTTAAATCTTTTCCTAGACTATTAGGCATGTTAGGTAAGCAGGTAAGTGACCTTGCGTTGCAACAGTTGGCTATAACTATTATTAATTAAGAATCAGTGAACGAGGATGCAGCTACATGTACCGTTGCTCGGCATCGACACAAGACCGTTATCTTGTCGCGCATTCTTAAGAATGTGCGCTCAAGTGGAAGAAGGCGCACTAGTCACATCGACAAAACATGGCCCAGTAGACAACTTGAGCCAACTTTAGAGATTGGGGCATAGCATTCTGCCACCTTACAAAAAACACCATATTGATTAAAGGAAAGAAAAGGGCAAACGAAACTACTAACCGGAAAAAACTAACAATTTCAAATGTCCCGCGATGCAAATTTTACCTGAATTTGTCGACCATCTTGCACATGCACTGGGAAAAATTAACTCTCCGTGGCAAACTGCATTGTGGCGCCATATTTTTGAACGGATGAGGGCGCTCTAACGACGACATTTGGGGGAAAACTGACAACCGAGTTTCCAAATGTATCATGCTGCCTCATTATCAAAAAACATTTTCTACAAACTTTAATGTTTAGATTGAAAATAAAACTAATTCACTGGTTTAAACAACGTGTTATTTCTACTTGTCCCCAGGGCTTACTTTGTTTTCAACATCGTTTCCAATAGTAAGCCCTGGATATATATAGGAAGCTCAGTCTTCATGATCCTGATATACGTTGACAAGTAATTGATTTATATCGTGTACTTGGTGGTGTTATTTCCAACGTGCATTCCGGGTTTTCACGGTCATTTTAATTATTACGTCCCCAAATCTTCCCCAAAATAATCTGTTCCTTTCCAATTTGCTCATATGCATATTGACCTTCCGTCAGAATTCTGACCATTCAGCGGGCGCCGTCTTTCGCTCAGGCTCCGGTAACCCAAAAACATGGCAGCCAATGGACAAATCAACAGCTTAGACCAACTTGTTGCTTGAAACGACGTCACAATTTCTAAAAACTCTCAAGGTGCGTGAGGCACATAAAATTATTTGCATGCTCACATGATCAGACGTTGCTGCGGAGCTATAATTGTGGGCTCCGTCAAAACAGATTATACTCAGACTACCGGGCATGACGTCACATGGCAAATTGTCCATAGTTCTTGTTGCAACATGTTAACCGTTAACTTTAAGCTCACTAAACTAAATAGCCTATTGTAACAATACGAGCTTTGAATGTGTCGAAAACATGCATATTCGTATTGTAGGACTCGAGTCCAGGACTCGGACTCGAGTCGAACTCGAGTCAAATTTTTTCGTGACTCGAACTTGACTCGAGTCACTTGGGAAAATGACTAGGACTCGGACTCGGACTCGACCATGATGACTCGGACTCGAGCTTGGTGACTCGTGACTCGAGTCACGTATTTATTTTCATCAAAAGAAAATAAACCATAACGTTAGTATTTTTGCGACGAACATAGCATTTTTTATTCCATAGACAAAACACGGCGACGCGAACAATTATATAATGGTTGATCGAATAATGTTTGGATGATAAAACATAGAGGGAAGGGATGGATGAGGGTTTATAGAGATGGGAATTAAAAGTAAAACACATTTTGGGTCCAACAGCATGTATGGTAATTAAACCATACACTGGGATTTACTTAATAAAAGGAATGGATGATGAAAACATATCATTGAACAAAATAATTATTAGATATTAGAACTGACTCGTGATATTAGAAAGTGACTTAGATATTAGAAAGTGACTCGTGACTCGGACTCGAGGTTTGTGACTCAAGACTCGGACTCGAGGCTTGTGACTCGAGACTCGGACTTGGACTCGAGACTTGTGACTCCAGACTCGGACTCGAGGCTTGTGACTCGAGACTCAGACTTGGACTCGAGGTTTGTGACTCGAGACTCGGACTCGAGGCTTGTGACTCGAGACTCGGACTAGAGGCTTGTGACACGAGACTCGGACTCGGACTAGAGGCTTGTGACTCCAGACTCGGACTCGAGGCTTGTGACACGAGACTCGGACTCGGACGCGAGGCTTGTGACTCGGGACTCGGACTCGGACTCGAGGCTTGTGACTCGCCCGGGACTCGGACTCTGACTCGACGCTGGTGACAGACTCGACTACAACACTGACATGCACACCTTGAAGGTTATATGAGTTAGGTATTCCTTCAGGATACATGGGAACACTTGTTTAGTTTGAAGCAACCAAATGCTCAGAATTCAAGAAGGGAGCAAATTAACCAACTCGTTAAATTTTCAGCTCAGTGGATACTATACATACGTACATTATGGGAAAACAGGAAAACAATGCACACTGACATGTTGGTATATCTGGAGCTGGACTCCGTTGCTAATGCACGTAAAAAAAAACCTGTGACTGCGGGCACATTGCTAAACCACTTTCAACAAATTATTGGTTCCTTCCGAATGATACCGTTTCGGGCTGGCCAATTTTAATTTGAGCGAGAATTTTCTCGTGAAATCCGTCGGCAGGTGCGTTTCAGGGTAATTGCATTACATTCCTACGTGCCTGCCTATAGGTTTAAACAGCGAAGTGTAAAAGTCAGGTATATTTGCATTTTGACCCACAAACCCCTTTTCCTACAACCAATCTTCTGGCTAGTGACCCGACCTGAAGGGCTACACAGTCCCTGAACAAAATAATCCGAAAATATGCAAACACGGGGAAAATGCGAACTTCCGCGGTGCCTTGAGGGAAAATCGGAAAAATTGAGATCTCAGGTGCCTTGCAGCATGCTGAGTTCTAATTAAAATTTTACTTCATGTTTTCAGGCAAAATCAAGGTTAACGTAAACAGTCATAATATAGGCCAACTCTGTTCAGCAGAGAGTATTCAGAAAGCAATGTAAGAAAAACTGTAAATAAACAGTAGAATTGTGTTTTTTTTTTTTTTAATTTGTCAGAACGTGAACAAAATAATCCGAAGCAAACAAAAAATGAGGCACGGCAATGGGAAAAAAACGGTTCTTAGAGGTAGAGTACATCATTTGTAATTTGTGCATTTTTTTCAGTTGACGCAACAAAAGTGCTTAAAATGTAAAGAAAGATACTTAATTAGGCCCCCCCCAAAAAAAGTCTTCGATTTCTGGTATGGAGCTTTCCCCAAAAGTGTTTTTTTTTTCGTCAAATGTCAGCTGATGACTGTAAATGGCACCCGACTATAAATTCAGTGCAAAATGTATAGGAGCCCAGAGAGGCCACGTAAATCTTATACTCGATCGTAAAACACGTTAAAATTGTGCAGCAGCAGGATTCCAATCAAACCAGTGAGTTTGGCGGTTTTGAGACATCATCTTACATTGAAAAAAAAAAACCTTTTTAATTTTGCCAACGCGCATAGTATGGTTTCGGCGACGCGCGCACAGTCCAGAAACCGGAGCCCTTTTTTTGGCCTTAACAACTAACCTGATGAAGTTTGATCTCATTGAAAGCTGTATAATTATTGCGAGAAAACAATATTCAATCAAGGATCTCGAATTCAATTCAAAAGTGCCGAGTCATGTTAAATTGCACCCGAAGTCAGCGTCCGGGACACGCTCTCATTCAGCCGATTGCAGCTACGCGATATCACGCACTAAACCGATGAATGGTCTTTACGGTTGCAGACCAGCTAGTTAGTAAACTGCAACTAAACCCCTACTTCCAAAAGTCAGGAAAATACTCACAACTCTCCAAGGTGTTTGAAACGGACATTGATCAAACGAAAGCTTATTTCATCATCTTATAATTCCTGCTATTTTTTTTTTTTTTTAGGGGGGAGGGGGGTTACTTCAATGACTTTTGAAAGAAATTTCCATACAAAGGTGATCACCCCTAAAAATAGTCCTGAAACCCATTGCCATTTTGAAAAAGGATGCCAACACTTCGTTGCTAAAATAGAGCGATTTAAGGGCCCAGTTTGATCCAAATTTCACAGAAATACAAGCTCGCAGTCGTGTTCACGGCTTTCACCGTTTTTATTTAAACAAACTCTAAAATTGATGGCCCACAAAATACTCTTAATAGCAGAAAATTTGCGGGCATTCAAATCGTGATTTAGTCGGCGGATGCAATCCTGGGGCTCTTAACTGCTCTGCACCTTTTATACTAGCATGTAGACTCCAACAACACGTTACAAAATCATGTTGCGCGTCATATTGTTCGTGTATGTGGGTGATTGCAAAAGCCAGAGAGGAGGAAATTAAAGGGATGTAGACAGGACGTGTGAGTGTTTGCGGACTTTTAAAGAATCGCTTCCTCCCGGATCAGCTGATTGAACAAAGACTTTGGCAAGCGATGTTTGCTCGCTGACAGAAAAACACTTCACGGATGGATATTGTTTGGCAGAACAAATTGTCCGTTGAATTGTTTTCGACCTAGCACGGCGCTGAGACAATAACCCTGGACAAAGTGCAAGGATGTGGCATGATAAAAAATAATATGATGCGAAGACGATGACGTCTGGTTAACTCTCTGGACCGTCCGGCGACAAAAAATATTGGCCACTGAATCTTAATATACGTCTAAGACCACTTGACTGACAGCGGAGTTGCTCAAATTGTGCTATCGAGTGTCGCTCGGATCGGTAGACATTTAAAATGAACGAGGCGCACGTCAAATGACACAATCTGCTCACTTTAAACAATGAATAATTACTTTAAAAAATGAAATATTCGAGGTCTGACAATTATTCTTGCATATTGTCGTGTCAGTGCAAAAATTGTCGTAACTGCCAAGTTTGTCAAAATTCAGCTTTTTGTGTAATTTTCAAGATTCACCCATATATTATTACAGGAGAGTTTCATTGAAAAATATTGCGCGTCATTGTGACGTAATTGATATTACGTCATAAGGTCGTATCTCCATTACGAGCAAAATGCCTGAAAGCCCAAACGTCGTATCTCAAGCGTTTACATGTATATGCAAAATGACATACAATCGGGTTTATGCAAAAACGTCGTGTCTCAAAAGTCATCGGAAGTTGACTTCTGTTTCCTTGTACCGACAACCAATTAAGCACAATACAGTCCCAATTCTTTATAATGTCCAGTGGCGAACACAAAATAGGGGTTGGGAGATTGAAATCCCCCTCCCCCTCCCCCGTTCAGCAGCTGACACATGTTATGACACTAGAACAACTTGGGCCAAAAATAATAAATGGAATTCTAACATTCGTAAATATATCCTTGAACTGCGTTTACTAGAACGCATGAGAAGCATCTTAGATTTCAAAATGTTCCAGGGGCATGGCCCGTTCCCCCAGCAGGGTGTTCACAACTTCCCCACTCCCCCCCCCCCCCTTACCTCAAAGTTAGATCTGCCCCTAGTGTCCACAGCACAACATTGTGTTTAGGGCAACGAAACTGTAGCTCTTACTGTACCGAGCCAGGAAATATGTAAATTGG